GTGTAGTTGTTGCTGTGGTTGATAAATACATGCACAGTTGTGTTAATTGTATGTACAATGAACAATTCAACTTTCTAGAAGAAAATTTTTTCCGTAAAATACAATAAATTCTACTCAATTTTAACTGTTACTGATGGGCTGTGGCCAATGTAGTCAATTTGCCTGAAACTGCAAAAGTCCTGGAAAGGTCCTGAAAACAAGCTCTGTGCGTGTGCCTGCGTGTGTGTGCGTGTAAATCTTCCTTTAATCTGTTTCTTTCCTTGTCTTTCTCCTTAACACAGGAGGATCCATTCAAAGTGAAGTCATCTGTGTTCAACAGCCAGCCTCAGGAGCCTCCCACTGATCCCTTCCACTCCGAAGACCCCTTCAAAACAGACCCATTCAAAGGTTATCCCCCCCTTTACTTCCACTGTCGCCCTCTATTTTTTTCTTAGGGTATTTATTCTTCTCTACTTTCACTTGCCCTACTTTATTCTGCTCTGTTCCTTCCTTTTCAGACATTAAGCATCTCCTCCTCTCTTAGCTGACCACGTGTTCACAGCTCTGTTTATCATTTTCTTTCTACCTGACAGCTGATGTTGTTTTTAGCTTGAGTTGCTCTCTGACTGTTGTCTGTGTCTTTCTCCTCTCTTCCTTGTTGTTTTCTTCCTGCTCTTCCATCTTCTGGATTCCTCTACTAAAGGTGACCCTTTCCAAAATGACCCTTTTGCAAAGCAGCCATCAGCATCCACAGGTATTTACTTGGAGAGAAGGGGCTCAGTTTTATGCCTTAAGATCTGGTCAAACCAGCATTTAATGTTGCAATATTCAGAACAAAATCTGTTCATTTTAATGCAATTGTTGTTATCAGTCACAAATAAAAAGAACAGTTAGTGTTGACTGCTCTTCTATCTTAATATAGCATGTGCAATATTCTCCCTAGCCCGTTAATGATGAATAAATTCATTAGGAGCTCTCTTTTTAACCAAGGAGAACAACTACAACTACCCCAACACTAGAATTCCCTGGTAAATTGTGTTAACCCTGAAATAACGGTCACACATACATCCAAGTGGCAGCCGCCTTGTTTTTTGTTGACGTGTGAAACAGCAGTGTGTGTAACTGTGACTTCGGTCCCACTTCCCTCTTCTATGATATTGTGGAGTTTTACTTCTCTGTGTAGTAGATGGAAATCAATGATAGAAATCAGCCTTTTCACACAGCAGGGAACCTGCTCCAACTACTCTGCAGTATATAACCCACCCCCCATCGTGCATAGGCCTGTCACAATAATTACGTTATTGACTTATCATACAATATATACAATATCTAATTATCACTAGGCCTGCACAATATGAGGAAAATCTGCAATGTCCAATAACTGTTAAATAAGATGATAAGATGTACCTTTATTGATCCCCCAAAGGAGAAATATAAATTAGACACAGCAGCATAGGGAATGTAGTGCAAAAAGTACAGAAGTGTAAAGGATCACAAAATAAGAATATTATATAATATAATAGAAAATATAATACTATGAAAATGAATGTGAAATGAAAAATATATACACTATATGTGTAAGTGGTGTGCAAAATATTTTGAGCAGCGTATGACAAAAAAACTAAACTGTACATGTGCATTCAAAGATAATAGTTTTACTTGTATAGCGCCTTTCTGGTCTTCCGACCACTCAAAGCGCTTTTACACTACGTGCTACATTAACCCTTTCACACACATTCGATGTCCATCCAAAGTCGGGGATCAAACCAACAACCCTCCGATTAGTGGACGACCTGCTCTTCCTATGAGCCACAGCCGCCCGTTGGTGGTCCGTCCAGTCGAGTGTCACCCCCAGGAATTTGTAGTAGTCCACCATCTCTACCCTCTATCCTCTACCACCAGCTCTCTGGTTTTCCCTGGTTTCTGTCGCACCATCCAATGAAGTTCCTGATCGGGTCTCTGTACTCCTCCTCCCTATCGTCTGCGATACAGCCAACAATGGAGGAGTCATCAGAGAACTTTTGTAGATGGCACACTCCGGAGTTGAAACGAGTTGCAGCCAAAATTGTGATAACGTGTGATTTATAAATAATAATAAATAAACAAAAAGTACTGTAGTACTGAAAAATCTTTACTTTTTCCTCTATTAGGCTTACATTTTATTAATTTATTTTCTCCCAAACCTAAAGACATTTCCTCACTACTCTCTCAAGCTCAAATTCTTTTCTTGCAAATGTTCTCCAGTTTAAGAAAACGTGTCTTTGGTACGGACCCCCAAAAATTGCACATCGTCATGATTTTCAGTGACAATTGAATTTGCAATGCAACAATTGTGTCTACACTAATGGTGAACCATATTGCATATTGTCACAATATGTGTCACAGGCAATATCTTCGTTCATCCCGAATTCATATGTTTTCATTAGTGTATGATCACCTGAAAATAAGAATCGTTGTGTATTTGTTACCTTAGAATTAGCTGTTTTTATCTACAGAGAGTCAACTATGTTTCTGCAGAAGCCCATAACGGACAAACCAAACACTGGCTCTAGATAGGGCCTTTTGTGTTTTTTGCGAGTTTCATGGCAACTGTAGTTTCTCCTACATGCTTGGTATGGGAGGATGAGGTCAGGGCATTGCAATCTGCCACTTCACAACAAGATGCCACTACATTTTACACACTGGTCTTTTAATATGGCAGTTTGGAAGATGCTGACCAGGAATGGATGAGCGTATTATAGAAGTGATTTTAGAAGATTCTATTATATGTTGTTACTTTTTCCTTTTTATTATTTCCTTTTTTTTTTTTTTATTAATACAAGTGGACCACGGCAGCAAATTTTGTGACCACTGTAGTTCATTGAAGGCAGTCTACAACTTCAGTGCTAGATATCACCAAATTCTTCACACTAGTCCTTTACCTCTCTCCTTAGGAAAACAATGGCTTGCACCCTTACAGATCGATGCTACTGCTGATATGTGGATTTAAAATAAACTGCGCAATCCCTGGTTCTGTTGCCTGGTTAATGAAAAGTTTTTGAACATGTACATTGAGAAAAATAGCTACAGTTGTCCATCATTCCTGCTACAGATCCTTTTGGAGGAGATCCTTTCAAAGAGACCGATCCATTCAAGGCTTCGTCAGAGGATTTCTTCAAGAAGACCACAAAGATGGATCCCTTTTCCACACCAGACCCCTTCAGTAAAAGCGCAACTTTACCCTCAAAGGTAACTAGTTGAAGATCGAAGGCCAGAACATAGAATTTGTATTTTTATAATTATATAAAATCTCAAGAGTGGCACAAACTTTAAAATGACTGCTTATTGTTGGGCTACCACACTGTACTGCATATCGTGGCTAATTGCAATGCTTGGAGGAATGACTATTTGATCCCTTGCTGATTTTGTAGGTTTGCCCACTTACAAAGAATGGAACTGTGTAATGAATTTTAATCATTAGGTATTTTAACATTGAGAGACAGTAATATCACAAAAAAATCCAGAATAACATCATTTACATTTTATAAATTTATTATCATATTTTTGCATGAACTAAGTATTTGATCCCCTACCAACCAGCAATAATTCTGGCTTCCACAGACCAGTTAGTTTTCCATTAAGAAGCACTCCTAATCTCAACTCATTACCCAAAACACCTGTGTCAACTCGTTACATCGTTATGTAGCTGTATAAAAGACACCTGTCCACACAATCAATCACACTCCAACGTTTCCACCATGGGCAAAACAAAGGAGCTGTCTAAGGACATCAGGGACAAAATTGTAGACCTGCACAAGGCTGGGATGGGCTACAAGAAAATAAGCAAGCAGCTTGGTGAGAAGTTAACAACTGTTGGAGCAATTATTAGAAAATGGAAGAATCACAGAGTCACCGCCAATCTCCCTCGGTCTGGGGCTCCACGCAAGATCTCGCCTTGTGGGATATCAATGATCATGAGAAAGGTCAGGGATCAGCCCAGTACT